ATTTGAATGTTCTAAGAATATCTCGAGGTTTAACATTACTGGGATCGGCTAAAAAGATGGGTTAACTCATAGGCAGATGGGAGATCAATAACAGCACACACAATGGATTAAAATAGCGAACGAAAGACTAGATATTTCATCCTATTCTTTAACTTGATGTCGTTTATTATGCAAATCTTAGCATGCTTGTCATCTCCATTAATAGTCGTATTTTAAATCAGCTTCGTCTGATCGTTTGTGTTCACCATCAGCAGATAACCAGTAAAATAATGAAGATCATGGTAATTTAATGTTAGTAAGTGCTGGTGACCAAATGTTTGACTATTCCTAAAGGCTTAATTAAAAATGATTAAGTGGATCTCAATACAATTGTTAGTGGAAACTGTAGAGCATTCAGTCAGCCGAATACAGGTGGAACCAACAGAAGAAATTATGGTGAACTGGAAGTATTCAGGAGAAAAAAAGGTATAGGATATCTTAGAGAAGATATAACGTGAATGTACAAACGCCACTGAAATCGGCTTTGAGTCATATAACCAATAATTGATTTCGTTTATCGCATAAACACAAACCAAGAAAGCTTGCATTTTTCTTCCCAACTCAGAATAACAATCAAAAACTTCACAAGCTGCTGTCATGACTTGATTTAGCTACCTTTAGTTTTACTGTAGTCTAATCCTGCCTGAATTCACATAGCATGGTAGAGTAGACAGTAGCTCGGTATGCGTAACACATGATATCAGTGCCTAAAAAGATTACGTTTCTTAACATCCCCTAATGACTTATTAGGTATAGACGTGGTTTATGTTGTCCTAACCCTCGCTCCTCTGCGGGTATTAGAATCTTCAAAATATTTAGAAGAGGTGATGAGTCATTCTCAAGGCATATATTTAGACCTGATTCGACAAGCGAAGATTCGGTTATCCATCCAATTAAGTTAGTTTTTAGGACTGTCACTCAGTTTCAACCTCTTGTGGAGCTGTAGCTCATTGGTCTAGGCACTCGGCTTCTAACCAGGTCACGGCTTTAACCCTTGCTCCGGGAGATTACGTAATATAATTAGCCCCAACACGATAGCTTTGTCTACTGTGCGTTATTGCAGACACGTTATTCTTTCAGGCGCATAGAGAATTTTTGAAACCATCTAAATTGAGTTCTGCAAACATTTAACTATAGAACTAAATTCAATTATAAACGATTATAAATCCAGATTTACCAATCATCATGACTTAAAATGTAGATTAGATGATATTCCTGTACGTGACAGTGAAAAAATTGTTAGTTTTGATGTAGCTAGCCTGTGTTCTAGTACATAGATCGATATGGCTGTAGCGACGGAAATGAGCTCAACGATCACAAGCGGCTTACACTCCAAATAAGTTACCGGTGGAGATCATGACACCTAAGCCATAGATTAAAAATACAATGTACAAAGAGAAATAATCATGGGATTACCAATGTCCCATATAGCGTGATACATCTGTAAACCAAATAGGATGGAATTACAACCTATTACGGTGGCTGAATCTTACTCTTATGTCAACCAGATGCCTTGCCTTTCTTACTTACCATTCTACGAGTCATAAGACCCGTTTATGCAAACAAATCAAGTAACCTTGTGCAAATTTTGTGTGCAAAGCTACGAGTCACATTTTCCCCCAACAGCCGAAGGTTCTAACTGGCCACTCCAACCTTGATAGAAATGCATTACTTACTAACTGAGAAGATAAAATGCCTAATACAAAGTAACAATAACTAGAAAATCGCCAAATCTACAGAAAACACTTTACACATGAATTTTAAACATGTCCTACGAAAGACGGGAAGAACTTTTCACTGCACCTTACTTTGAGAAACTTTATGATGAAAAAAAGAAAAGGATATCTGCAAACACTGAGAAATTCACATACATTGATCAGTGAATGAAAAAATGATGGATAACGGTTGGGTAAATACACTAAAAACACGTGAGAACACGTTCATCACATGAAGCGACTATATTAAACATGTCATGGTAAATACTTCCAAATACATTATATAGAATGAATAAACTAACGGTTGACGTAAAAAATAGGAATCGATCTGCTCAAAATATGTACTGAAATGTAATAATCTTAGGAACTGAAAAAAGTAAGAGCTGATAAACTAATATGCGAGCTACCTAAATCAGGATATCAGCCATCCAGATGAAATGGAAGCGACAAAAGCGTAAAGCGATTTCGAATGTCGTCAGTGTGTACGTAAAACCACATAATTTAACACAAAATCAAATTGCCGTTCAAAATTCAACAAATTCATTAACTTAGCAGCTCTAAAATCGCATATAGAATATTTGTTTATCTAAGATATACGGTAATATATATATTTAGAACAGAGGTAATACTAAAGAAATACACCAGAACGCCAGCTAACTGTACAATACAGATATATCTATATTATATTAAAGTATTTCAATAGGTCCCCCTACCATATGATGTGTTTTTAACAGGCTGTACGATGATATTACAAGTCAACCACGTGACAATCATCCCACCTGTAGAACCCGACAAAGAATTTTAGAAACGTATGAGTTCACTCCAACCTCGCCTGGTTAACTAGTTCACTAGTTACTAGCCGGTCCTAAGCCCGGGTAAAGAGGGAGGGTTGGGCATACGGCTAGCAACCCTACCCCCTAAAACAAATCTAACCGCTAAACAAACTTCACAGCACAAACAAAATATAAAAAATAAAAACAAAATTATTCCTTGCTGGAATCGGAGAGACGAAATGACGCCAGTTAGTGAAAGCCTTTGGGAAGCCAATTGACCGATGTGTCTTCTCTCCCTCGATGAAAGCGAAAGTAAACGTGGGGACATGAAATGTCCACACGATGTTTGAACCCAGCAAGGCAGCCCAAATTGCAAACGAGATGAGAAGGTATAGCATAGAAGTGCTAGGAATTTGTGAAAGCAGATGGAATGGAAGTGGACTCTCCAAACTGTCAACTGGAGAGTCAATAATCTACTCCGATGTTGTCACCCAGACGACAACCACGAGCACACTGAGTTTTGGAGTGGCTATCACGATGTCACCAAGAGCATCGAAGGCTCTTATGCAGTGGGAACCAATCTCCTTCAGGATCATGACAGCAAGGTTCAACTCAAAAGGAAGGAAGGTCACAATCATACAATGCTATGCACTTACAGCTAATGCAGAGCAAGAGAATTGGAGGAATTCTACAGACAACTTCAATCAATACTGGACAAGACGTCAGCTGGCGATATCAAAATTCTAATGGGAGACATGAATGCCAAACTGGGAGGGGACAACACAGGAAGAGAACTAACCATGGGTCGAGAAGCGCTCGCTGAGATGAACGAGAATGGAGAATTGTTTGCAGAATTCTGTGCATTCAACGATTTGGTGATTGGAGTTTTGCAGTGTGTTCAAGCACAAGGATATCCACAAAGCGACATGGATTTTTTTTCACCAGATAGACACACTAAGAATCAAATCGATTTTATCTCAATCTCAAGAAAATGGAGACGCAGTCTACTTGACACAAGGTCAAGAAGAGGAACAGATGTAGGTTCACACCACTTTCTAGTGCAAGGAACCTTCCAAATCAAGTTAAAAGCCTTCATGGAAGCTGGTGATAGACCACAGTTCAAGTACGACACTCGGAAACTGAAGAACGAAACTACAAAGGAGATCTTCACGGCAGCCATCAAGACAAAATGGGAGATATCGAGGAACATCCCTGAAGAAACCTGTGTGGAAGAACACTGGAAGTCTTTGAAAGAGATGTGGAGAGAAACCTGCACAGCCCTATTAGGAAGGAAGAAGAAAGAAGATAAGGAATGGATCTCCACGGATATATGGAAGCTGATAGAGGAGAGGAGGATGGTGAAGCAGAATATAAACCAGTGCAAGGATGAACGACGAGGAGAGGAACTGAGTACAATGTATAAAACACTGCACCGGACAAAGAAGTGAAGAAGAGTGCACGGAAAGACAAAAGACACTTCTACGAAACACTGGCAAGTGAAGCAGAACAGGCTGCAGGTAAGAGAGATAGAAACCTGACAACATTGTATCAAATAACCAGGTTGCTATCTGACAAGAGATCAACGCAGACGAAACCAATAAAAGATGATGACGGAAACTTAATTACGAAAGAAGAGAAACGAACGAAACAATGGGCCGACCACTTCAAGAAGCTCTTGAATCGACCACCACCTGCACTTCGTCCACAAATACCACCTGCAGCCGCTGAACTACAAGTGAACATAAATCCTCCAACGAAAATGGAAGTCCTGAACGCCATAAAGCCACTGAAATGTAGGGAAGCAGCAGGACCAGACGGGATACCGCCAGAAGCACTGAGAACAGACGCAGAGACAACAGCGGACATGCTTACACCACTATTGCATAAGGTGTGGAAGGAAGGAAAGGTGCCTGCCGATTGATTGGAAGAAGGGTTACCTTGTCAAACTCCCGAAGACAGGGGGGACCTCAGTCTTTGCAAGAACATGCGCGGAATCACTCTCCTGTCCACCCAAAGCAAGCAAAATATTAGGCCGCATCATCCTGGAGAGACTAAAGGATACGCTGGATTCAAAACTACGACCGGAACAGGCAGGCTGGCTGGATTCAGCAAGTACAAATCATGTGCAGACCAAATTACATCGCTACGCTTCGCATCATCATAGAACAGAGTATAGAATGGCAGTCAACTCTACACCTCAACTTTATCGACTTTGAGAAGGCCCTTGACAGTGTAGACCGAGAGGTAATTTGGAAACTGCTTCAATACCACGGAATAGCGCAAACCTTTATAAGCCTCATTCAACAACTATATGGAGATGCCACATGCCAAGTAATTCACAATGGGGAGCTCAGCTCAGTGATGCTTTTGAAGTGAAGACAGGAGTGAAACAAGGTTGCCTACTACCACCTATGATATTCCTGATTGTGGTCGACTGGACTAGATCATGCAACAAACAGTGGGGAGCGAGAAGAGGGGGATATGCTAGCTGGACTGCGGAAAAGAACCTAGAAGACTCGGATTTCGCCGATGACTTGTGTCTGATGTCGCACAAACTTGAAGATCTGCAGGCGAAAACTAACAAGTTGACAGAAGAGGAAGGGCAGCGAAGACGGGACTTCAAGTGAACATAGAAAAGACAGAGGTAATGAAGATACCCAACCAACACCGACGGCAACAATAACAGCAACAACCTCCAATCACCATCAACGGGAGAAACTTAAAGGAAGTAACCTCCTTCACCTATCTAGGCAGCACTGTTTCAACTACAGGCGGCACTGACGAGGATGTCAAAACCAGGATCGAAAAAGCAAGACAGGCATTCATTAGCCTGAAACCAGTGTGGAGATCTTCTGCACTCCACTCAGCATGTGGAACAAGATCCGGATTTTCAACACCAACGTCAAGTCAGTGCTTCTATGTGATGGTTCAGAGACTTGGCACGTTACGAAGGGGATTTCCAACAAACTAAAGACATTCATCAACAACTGCCACCTACGCTGGCTCTTTACTGAAGCGCAGATGGCCAGAAAGAATAAGCAACAAGGAGCTCTGAGAACGAACCAACCAAGAACCTATCACCCAACAAATATGCAGGAGGAAGTGGAGATGGATTGGGCATACACTGAGAAGGCCGACCGAGGACATCACGCATCAAGCCCTCGAGTGGAATCCCCATGAGAAGCGACGAGTTGGACGTCCGAGGGTGACATGGAGGAGGTCGTGTGAGGAGGAAATGAGAGCTTCTAGGCTGTCATGG